AGTTTGGTGTTTCTATTCGTACTTTTCGTAGTGATAATGCCTTAGAATACTTATCATCCCAGTTTCAGGAGTTTATGTCTCACCAAGGAATTATTCACCAAACATCTTGTCCATACACTCCTCAACAAAATGGTGTAGTGGAAAGAAAGAATAGGCATCTCATTGAGACTGCTCGCACTCTCCTCATTGAATCCCATGTTCCGCTGCGTTTTTAGGGGGATGCAGTCCTTTCATCTTGTTATTTAATTAATAGAATCCCCTCATCTTCTATTCAGAATCAGGTTCCACATTCCATATTGTCTCTTCAGTCACATCTCTATTCTATCTCTTCTCGTGTATTTGGGAGCACATGCTTTGTTCATAACTTAGCCCCAGGAAAAGATAAATTAGCCCCTTATGCTCTTAAATGTGTCTTTCTTGGTTACTCTCAAGTTCAAAAAGGGTATCGTTGCTATTCACATGATCTTCGCCGATATCTTATGTCTGCCGATGTAACATTCTTTAAATCTCAACCTTACTACATATCTTCTGATCATCCTGATGTCTCTGAGGTCTTACCCATACCTCAAGTCTTGTCTGTACCGACTTTTGAGGGACCTACGGTAACTTCTCCATCTTCAGTTATAGTGCCACCACTCCTAACTTATCATCGGTGTCCACGTCCAACAATAGTCTCAAATGATTCATATCATGCGCCGGACCCTACTCCCACTGTGGCCTTGCCTCCTGCTAGCCAATCGATTACACTCCATAAAGGTATATGATATACTCGAAATACTAATCCACATTATACTTTCTTGAGTTACCATCGTTTATCTTCACCCCATTATGCCTTTGTATCATCTTTGTCCTCTATTTCCATCCTTAAGACTACTGGAGAAACACTTTCTCATTCTGGATGGAGGCAAGCTATGATTGATGAGATGTCTGCTTTACATTCGAATGGTACTTGGGAGCTTGTCCCCCTTCCTACAGGTAAGTCTACTGTTGGTTGTCGTTGGCTTTATGCGGTCAAAATTGGTTTAGATGGTCAAGTCGATCGGCTTAAGGCTCGCCTTGTGGCCAAAGGGTATACTCAGATATTTGGGCTAGATTATAGTGACACTTTCGTTCATGTGGCCAAAATAGCATATGTCTGTCTTTTTCTATCTATGGCTGTTGTTCGTCATTAGCCTCTTCATCAGTTGGACATTAAGAATGCTTTTCTGCATGGTGATCTTGAGGAAGAAGTCTATATAGAGCAACCACCTGGTTTTGTTGCTCGAGGGGAGTCTAGTAGCCTTGTATGTCGATTGCTTCGGTCACTCTATGGCCTGAAACAGTCTCCTTGATCTTGGTTTGGGAAGTTCAGCACATTAATTCAAGAGTTTGGTATGACTCGTAGTGGAGCTGATCACTCTGTGTTTTATCAGCATTCAGCACCAAATTTGTGTATTTATTTGGTTGTTTACGTTGATGATATCGTTATCACCGGCAATGATCAAGTTGGTATCGCTAATTTGAAGCAGTATCTCTTTCAACATTTCCAAACTAAAGACCTCGACAGACTGAAATATTTTCTAGGTATTGAGGTTGCTCAGTCTAGATCAGGTATTGTTATTTCTCAACGCAAGTATGCTTTAGACATTCTTGAGGAGACAAGAATGATTGGATGTAAACCCATTGACACTCTTATGGATCCGAATGTTAAACTCCTTCCAGGAAAGGGGGAGCAACTCAGTAATCCTGAAAGGTATAGACGGTTGGTTGGAAAGTTGAATTATCTCATGGTGACTAGACCAAATATCTCTTTTCCTGTGAGTGTTGTAAGTCAGTTTATGACTTCTCCTTGTGATAGTCATTGGGATGCAGTTGTTCGTATTCTGCGATATATAAAGTCAGCCCCTGGTAAAGGACTACTCTTCGAGGATCAAGGCCATGAGCATATCATCGGATATACAGATGCTGATTGGGTATGATCACCCTTTGATAGATGTTCTACATCCGGATATTGTGTTTTAGTAGGAGGTAATTTGGTGTCATGGAAGAGTAAGAAATAAAGTGTGGTTGCTCGATCCAGGGCGGAAGCAGAATATCGAGCAATGGCTGTAGCAACTTGTGAGCTAGTTTAGATCAAACAGTTGCTTGAAGAGCTGAAGTTTGGAGAAACCGGTCATATGTAACTTGTGTATGATAATCAAGCGGCCCTTCATATCGCATCAAATCCAGTGTTTCATGAGAGGACTAAGCACATTGAGATTGATTGTCACTTTGTCAGAGAAAAGATACTCTCAGGAGATATTGTTACCAAATTTGTGAAGTCAAATGATCAACTTGCAGATATCTTCACCAAGTCTCTCACCGGTCCTCGTATTAATTACCTTTATAACAAGCTAGGTACATATAATTTGTATGCACTAGCTTGAGGGGGAGTGTTAGAATAGAATATATATACACAATCCTATACATAATATGAATAGTTTATAGTCTCCTATTTGGTAAAGAATTGTATCATAGTGTCTATAAATAGGGTTCTCTATGTAATAATTAAAACACAATTCAATAATATTCTTTTCATATATTTCTCACAATCATTAGGGGTCGTTTGGTTACTGGTTAGAGTTATGCATGTATTAGTTATGCAGGTATTAGTTATGTAGGTATTAGTTATGCAAAGTTTAGTTATGCATGTATTAGTTTAGTTATGCAGAGTTTAGTTATGCAGATATTAATTATGCAGGGTTTAGTTATGCGGGTATTAGTTATGTATGTATTATTTAATTATATAGAGATTACAATACATTATTATAGTAAATATTCTATAAATATATTTTATATATTGTTTATACAATTTTGATACACCAAATATATGAATTAGAATATGATTAACATATGTGCCGACAAAATATATACCACCCAAACTGTAATATTAATAAAATATTTACATTTGGAATCCAAATGTAAACCAGAAAAAAAGAGGTTGTTGATCGTTTGTTAAAAAGAAAATAAAAATAAAATAAGAATGCAGTGCAGTCAGTAGTCAGGTTAAGTTCTCAATAAAAAAATTTAAAAATAAATTAATAGAGGTAAATATGTAATTTACTATTTTAATACATGTATAACTAATACCCGCATAACTTATTCCACCTTTTATCCGCATAATTTATATATAGATTCCCTCATAAGTTATGTTGATATTAATTATGTAGGACTACAAAGAACGCAACCAAACACCGTATAATATTAATACATGAATTAACTTTTATACAATTTTTGAAAACCTACCAACCAAACATGGTATAAGTTTTGTTGACTTTTCTACCTAATAAAAAACTTCTACCAAACATAGAAAAACTAATACAACTTTTAATACATGAATAAAATGACTCTTATACCGTAACCAAACGGCCCCTAGGGTTTAGACACTAAACCTATGATTTATCAGGAAAAAAGAAAAACCAATAGATTGAATATAGAATGCTGAGTGGTCATGATTGAACCACTTCTGATTCTCTGGATAAGTAATTTATTTCATTATTAAAACCTGTACCAAGACCCTCGTCACTGAGCCACTTATTGGGGAAATTTAAAGCTTTCCCTTCAATGTAGGACTCTTACATGAAATGGTAGCAGAGATGATTTCTTCTAAAAAATAGTTTGGGTCACAAAGACTTGTCTATCAAATATAGAGACGAAGTTGCTAATCAAGGTGGTACAAGCATGGGAATACTTAAGTTTTGGTTGGCAAATTGAAAACGGCACCTTCAAAATGTGAATAAAACCTGACCTAGCTACTTGTTTTTCTGAATGATGACATGAAGAGTGCTTGTATTTTGCTGGAATACCTTCAACTTTCAAGAGTATTTTATCTAGTTTGAGATCCAGCATATAGTTCGACAAATTGATTGTGTACCCTGGGATGTCTGCAGCAGGCCTTTACTGTGAAAACTTTGAATGTTATATACATACAGAGATTACACTGATTCTTTCATGCCCCTTCTTTCGTTTCACATTGTTGTAGCATCAAGTAGTTTCTGATTGTTTCTTTTGTATACTTTACAGTTCATGGCTTATAGAATGAATGCAATCATGTTGCAGTCTTTGCCAGCAGCCGAGAATGAAAGCTTTGGACAATTGTTTGTAATTTCAAGAAGTTCATCTATCCTGAATTTCTCCAACAGACTAGAAGTAACTGAACAAATTTCGAAGTTTGGTGTAAAATGTATGCCATCTCCTAATATTAGGTAACATTCAAAAATGTTGGTTTTGAATTATGTAAATATTTACATGACATTGGTTTCTGAAAAATAATTTGTTTCATGGTTTTAACTTTTGCTGCTCAAAATAATTTCAGTTGCATTTCCGAATGTGCAATAGGACCCTTTATGGAATTAAACTAGTTTTTCAGACATTGGCACTTGTTATTTGACATTGAGAGAAGAACTGGAAGTAAATTCGCAATCAATTTTCCTAATTGTAGAAGTTTGAAGGTATTTGAGCTCTTTCAATCCCCACTCTTTGGCCAAAAGTTGATGAAGGGTAGAGTCCCCTTCTTTTTCCTCGCTTTTGCTGCAGGTAGGACAATGTTTAAACTGTCTCTAGTGATGGTAGGCATAGGATTAACTAAGTGAGCCAGGGAAGATTCTTGCTCTAGGTTTAGAAGTATTAGGATTTTATACTAACAGCCTAATAAAAAAAATTGCATGATGAGTTTCTCAAGGCACTATATTCTTTTTACTAATTTCTAAAACTTTATTTTTATCTCCTGGACCACATTGATTTTTTGTAGTATGATTAACAACACATTTGTCATATCTCATAAAAGTTGCAAGCTTGGCTCTTCAAACTTTTGTGTGTAGACATATATGTGCATTAGTTAGTCTTTCATTGATTTCAATCAACTACACCTTAATCCCATACCAAATCATTTATGTGCATCTTTACATGAATCTCCTCATGGAATCACATTAACAATTTTCTTGATAATGAATTTGACTTATGCTGGAGTATGAATCCAAAATATTTGATTACCACTAGATAGTTCTCTGTTGCCAACACAAAGTTGTGTTCTAATTATTCTCTTAATGTTTTAAAATTTGGACACTTGTGTAATTGTGTTAGCTTCTTGAGAGACAAAACTCATGTGCTCAACAAGAAACCAAATGAATGTTGCTTCCCCTTTTATTATTTTGTTCAGATTCTTCTCGAGGTGTAGAAAACAAGAAGTTTCAAGTGATATGTGAGGCTTTTTGTGACACACCCAAATGTAAAAATGGAATATCTATTCTCTTTTACGGGATCAGGCCCCAAATCAGAAAGAAGAGGAGAATTTGCTCATAGATTTAGATATCTGTTGTTTTGTATTTTTGCTCTTTTAGTATTTAGGCATGGTTGGTTATTTAAATTATATAGAGATATTGAATTACTTGAATGTATTGTGGTTAGAATCTATATTATCCATGGAGTGTAACAAAATATAAAAGATTAATATTATAAATTTATAGTTGTGTCTTACTACTGTCATATTCCCCATTTTTCAAAGAACTTTCCAAGATATGCTTCCCGGGACATTGCTTAATATGTTGGAGTTGGTCTTCCTTCGACATAATTCTGTAAGCCAGCGAAAGCAAAGGGTTGCCTTCTGGGTGGAGCTCGTCGCACCAGTCTTGCCTAGTGTGGGTTACCTCTTCTATGTGGTTTGCGAGCTATTGCATAGGAGCGGGGGTTTTACCCTGTGCACACCCAAAGAGTAGCGGCTACGGGTTTCCCTTGTCATAAAAAAAAAAAGATTTGACTGAGGATTCCCCTTTGCTGTACTCTGTACAAAGCATATTACCTGAATTTGAGAAGCAATTTTGAAAACTTTAAACAACTTGTACAGTTAGATTATCTGTTGTTGTTTAATTCTTAGTGCAAACTGGAAAATGCTACTAACGAGATAGAAACTTTATTAGAGTTCGTAGATTCTAAGCTTAGCTGAGGGTCGTACTGTTTTTACCACACATGTACATAAAGTACAGAACTCCCCTTGTGGTGTGTTGTGTTTACAATCATTACCTTTTAAAAAAAATCAAAGAGTTATCATCAACCTATCTGTCTCGGTGTCCAATGGTGCTAGTGTTTGTGTCTGTGCCACTTTGAATAACCAATTCTGTTTATGCTCTGAAAGTCCTGTTTAAAGTTTAGCTTGTATGAGGTCGAATGAGACTTCTGTCAATATGAAGGTCGAATGAGACTCTGTCAATATGAAACTCTGGTGTTGCTTTTCTCCAATAAACAATAAATTGTTCTCTGTGAAACAATGTCAATAATATGCTGGATGGTGGTTGTTGCAAAATACCTGCATTCTTTGAAATCCATGCAAAGTTAACTAATAAGCGAACAAAATATAAAATTTTGTCAAAGAATATGCTGCCAGACACATTTTTCGAGGACTCCCTTCTGGGCCTTAGTTTCTCTCTCCGGTGATCACTCCGATCGCCCAAAAATTCTCCCCTCCTTTATTTTCTTTCTTCTTTATTATGGGTGGGAGTTGTTTCTTCTTTTCAGGTGATAAATCTTTTGAATTTAAGGATATTAGCGAAGGCCAGTTTGTTCTTATTCAGTGAACAAAACGTTCGATTCCCCAGCAAAGTAAAAATCGACGAAAGCAACCTGAGATGGGTTTGCAATGCGCTATAACAGGCTTCTCGGGGATGTAGAAACTTCTACAGAAGAGAAGAAGGCAACGTAATGATCTACATAGGGTATATCAAAATTACAATATTTATAGGCGCTTTCCTACGAATTGAGACTTGGAGGGAGACATGAAAAGTGCTATTATTATTGGCTGGTGTGAAATTGCTTCGAAGATTGGTTGGCAAGCCGACGAACCCAGCTCTTCAAAGGTTCACTACCCAGGGTAAGTCTTCTTTTGAGGCTGCATGCAAACTGAGTTGGCTGGATCTGGCACATCAAGACAAACCCAATTTTTTAGAGAGTGGTGACTGGAAATAAACCTTCGTATTTCAAAATTTGAGAATATGGGCTCCAGTATGAAGAATTTATTGACTTGGTAAAGTAGTGGTGGCAATGCTATGTGGTTAATGGTTCTCCAGATTTCATCCTCTTTTAGAAGTTGAAATCCTTGAAGAGCGATTTGGTTACATGGAATATGGAGTTTTCTGGCAAAGTTTCTACCAAAACTAACAAAACTTTGGAAGAGATTTTAATTCTTGAACAGGCCCCTGAAAAGGGCATCTACGAACATGACCTAACGGACCGTAGGTCCAGTCACGCCCCGTAGATGGTAGACGTAGATGGGCAGGCAAGGCTTGAAGGAAAATCAAGGAATTCTTGACCAAGTGTGGAACCATGGTTACAAACGACGGACCGTAGGTCGACCTACGGGCCGTCCTGCAGTTCCGTCAAATGATTCAGAGAGGGGGTTCCAGTACCTGATTTCGACAAGTCTAAATATGGAGGTACGGAGGAGGATCCACGGACCGTGGATCGAACCACGGTCCGTACTGTTAATCCGTTGATTGTGTTACAGTTGAAGATTTTTGAAGTTGGAAAATTTGCCTAGGTCCTAAACCACGGAAGGGATCCACGGTCCGTAGATCAGTGTCGTAGATCGAAACCGCGTCCTGAAACTTTATTTCCTTATTTCGTTTCCTTTTTAGTTGGGACTTGTTTTCCTATATATAGGGCTTGTAAACCTCTTTTTTTTGTGGGGGGGGGGGGGGAGACCTTATTACTTTTATTCTACAGACTCCAGCTGAAAAGAACAATTATTGCAATTAAAAATGGAATCCAGCAGTTAGCTAAGGCTGAGGAAACATCTTGGAGACTGAAATCAAGATGCCTGTGGTTAAAAGAAGGGGATAGAAATACTAAATACTTCTAAAAAGCTTCTAACTTTCATAGGAGATACAACTGTATTGTTAGGTTGAAGGTGGGGGAGATCATTATTGAGGACAAAGTGCAAGTAAAAGAGGCTATTCTTGACTTCTATTAGAAGTTATATCGAGAGGATGAAGCTTGGAAGCCTACAGTAACCTTTTAAGGCTAGAATTGTTTGAACCAAAATGATAAGGTAGTTCCTGAACGACCATTTGAAGAAGAGGAAGTGTTGACAAGAGCTCCGGTGGCCTTCTATTAGAAATGTTGGGACACTATTAAATATGACGTTATGGTTACCAATCATCATTTTCACAATTTCACAACAATTGCACCATGGTTAAATCTTTCAATGCTTTTTTTTATTGCCCTTATCCATAAAAACAAAGGTGATATTGAACTTAAAGACTTTAGACCTATCAGTCTTATTGGTAGTGTCTACAAGTTGGTGGCAAAGCTAACAGATAGATTGAAAAAGTGATTGGGAGATTAGTCTTAGGCTATCAGAATGCTTTTATTAGAGGCTGACGGATCAAAGGTACAATCGCAAATGAAGTATTGGATTGGAGGCAAAAAAGTGGTGTCCCTGGTCTCTTATTCAAGCTGGATATAGAGAAGGCTTTTGACAAGCTGAACTGACAATATCTCATTTCTATCCTACGGCAAATGGGGTTTGGTGAGAAATGGATCAAATACAGCTTTTCCACAGTTACATATTCTGTTGTGATCAACAGAAGCCCAGTAGGTTTCTTTTCCCTCTTGAGAGAAATAAGACAAGGTGACCGCCTATCTCCCTTCCTCTTCATTCTGGCCATGGAGGGTCTCAGTAGCATGCTGGAAAAGGCAAAACAATTGCAATAGATTGGGTTTTTCGAAGTGGGTAACAACTGTGGTCTTACAGTCCTTGTTTCTCATCTTCTCTTTGCTGATGACACTCTTATTTCCTGTGGTGCTGAGGAGTCTCAAGTGAGGTATCTCAACGACTCAACCTCACCCTTATTATCTTTGGAGCCTTATCTAGGCTCCACATTAACATGTCGAATTGCATTATATACCCTGTCAATATGGTCCCAGAACTAGAGCTTCTAGCCAACATTATGTGTTGTAGCATTGGCACTTTTCCCACTACCTGTCAAGGACTTCAGTAGAGATTTGGAATGTGGTCATTGAAAAGTTTGAGAAAAGATTGGCCTCTTGGCAACTACAATTTCTTTTTCTTGGTGGTAGATCAATAGTGTTCGTGATAGTATTCCAACTTATTTCATGTCTTTGTTCCCAATTCCAACACCAGAAGAGGTTCAATATCAACTTGACAAGTTACAGAGGTCTTTTTTGTGGTAATAGTGAAAGTCACAAATTTTTATCTAGTTAAGTGGGCCAAAGTAACTCTTCCAAAGCATTTAGGTGGTCTTGGTTTAAAGGATTTAGCAGTACACTACAAATATATGCTAATGAAATGGCATTGGAGGTTTAATCAAGATGATGTTGGTCTTTGGAAGGAGATTATCCAAGCTAAATTTGGCAGCATTAGCCATTGGTGCTCCAACCAAGTCTTAATTCCTTATGGGTCTGGATTGTGGAAAGATATCAGGAGATTGTGGGATGAGTTCTTTCTCAACTGTTCCTTTTAAGTGGGAAATGGGCTCATCTTTTATTCTGGAAAGACAAATGGCTTGGCTCTACTACTCTTAAGGATACCTTCTCCAGGTTGGTCCCTATAACTACTAATCCAGATTCAACAATTGCTCAGAACTGGAGGACAACTCATAGAATTTGCACGTAAGAAGACACTTAAATGACTGAGGAATGGAGAACATGATAGCATTGATTGGGAGTTTGCAGAGCAGTCCAGTTCTCACTCATTGAAGTGACAGACTTAAGTGGGGTAGTAACAAGGATGGTTCTTACTCTGTCAGAGAAGGTTACTTGCTTCTGAGCTCAAACAAGGACCTGATTGACCAATGGCCTTGGAAGCTCATCTGGAAAACTAAATTACCACCAAAAGTTTCCTGTTTCTGCTGGATCACCTTAAAAGGAGCTTGTTTAACTCCAGACAATCTCATGAAAAGAAAATTTTCTTTTAGCTAAATAGATGTTACTTGTGCCATTGCACCTCTGAGTCCATTAATCACCTGTTCTTATACTGTCCAGTTGCTACAGATATGTGGAGTGTGTTCCTCTCTTTTTTGGGTCTACAATGGCCTATGCCTCGCACTGTCAGGGAAGTTATTGTCTGTTGGAGTTCTTGGAAAGTTGGGAACACCATCAGAAGAATCTGGTCTATGTGTGGGGGATGGTCTAAAGACAGAGTTCTGGAATGAAATATGGTTAGGGGAAAACAATTTGAGAAACCTATTTCCTCATTTGTATACCCTGAGTTTGCTGAGCAATGCCACTGTGGCACAAGTCTGGAGTCAACAGGGTTGGGATCTAATTTTCAGAAGAGCATTAAACGATTGGGAAATTGAGGAAATTGCCAAGTTATTAGAGGTCCTCAATAATTTCCCAGGTACATCTCCAAGATCTGACAAGCCAATATGGAAAATACACAAGCAAGGGGTCTACACAGTGAAGTCATGCTATTGGAAGATGAACTACAATATTTCATTGACTGAGAGGTGGCCATGGAAACTAATTTGGAAGGTGAAATGTCCA